GCCCGCGCCCCTGTCTTCGATCTCTCGCTAAAGGCCCAGACCTGTCAAAGACAGCTGGGAACTCAGTGGCGCTCGCCTCCTAATTTTTTTTTTGCTCTGATCGATTGGGCCCCGAAGCCCCAAGATGGCCCGGGACGGCTGGAGACCCAGATGGCCTCCAGGAGGCCCCGAGTCAGAGCCCGCCGCGACGGGGCTGGGCCCCAAGAGAGCAAGCGGCCCACCCGAAACTCGCACTCCTCAGTCGCAAGAGAAAAAACTGGGGTGCCGCATGTCAGGCATGTCACTGCCCTCCCCCCCCCCCCTCCCCCCCTCCTCCTCGTTTGAGCCGCGAGCCCGCTGCGGCGTGCAGAACCCCCCAAGCCCGGTGCCCCTCCACCCACTCCCCCCCCCCACAAAGACCCCCAAGATCCCAAGAATGGTGAGAACCCCGCGAGCCCGAGATGCCCCCGAGACCTGGGGGCCCCCGGACAGCCAATGCCCAGACAGCCCCAACCCCCAAGACACGCTGGAGTCCAACGGAGTCACTGGAGCACTTTTCAGACCAACCCCGCTGTTTCCAGATGCGAACCGCGCAGCGTCAATATTGAAAATGCGACGAGCTCTGAAATCCTCAAAGATGAAGCATATCTTGAAATCCGATTGCAATACCTTGCATGTCTGTTTTTCAAACCTCCTTCTTTTTTTGGAATCGTCGGGCCTGTTGCGCGCTTCAAGAGCTGATTCCAAGAACACCCGATTTAATGGCGCATCCCCGACGGCGAAAGATAGGGGAGTCTCATCGTAAGCCAGGAACGTTCCAGCGCAAATTAATCGAATGTGCTTCTGGTCGTGCAGAAACGTCAAATGCGAACATAAAGAACTTAGAAATGACCGTAACGCATAATGGCTGACTGCAGCAACCTGGAGTGGCAACAGCGCTGCATCTCTTGGCGGCAGGTCGAGGAGTCTCGACTCAGTTGCAACGGAGGTGGCCGGACGAGGAACACCACCGAAGAGAAAGTCCATGCATTTATAAATTTCTTCAGATGGCTCCAACTCGCGATCTAAGATGAGGGCGACTGCAGTTTTATGAACTGCCTGGCCTGTCGGCCTCAACAATTCCCACAAACTCCCAGAACCAGGATCTGACAATGGTTGCAGCTGTGCGTCGTCTGCAAGAGGTAACCGCGGGCTTGTGAAGCCAGTCGAATCTCTCTGCATGTAATGCGCCAGTGGCGGTAAATTACTGCGGGGGCTCTCAGGACTCAGAGGGGGCTCCCAAGGCAAAACATCCCTGTCAGCAAGCTCGGGCGAAGGGTCGCGCCCCGCAGAACCTTCAGGTGAAGAAAATGGCACATTTGATCGCGGTGAACCGAGGGGCGTCGGACAATCAGCCAACTCGCTGCCTGCGCAATCTGAACATCGCGCAACTGAGACTGGCGGGGACGCGGGCGCCCACGGATCAGGACTCGAGTCCCCGCTTGCCCCGCCAGTCCATGCCCGAGGACTGGGAGGCAGCATGCTGCAAAACAGCTCGAGCCCAAGAGCTCCGCCCCCCTGCCCCCGGGAACCCCTCCCCCACTGGTTGTTGGGCCTAGGGCCTAGGGCCTCCTAGGGCCTAGGGCCAGGGGCTAGGGCCTAAGGGGCTGCAGCGCCAAGACTTCGGAGCGAACCCGGCATCGGCCCCTCGACGGCCCCCTTTCCCCCAGCGCCCAGGCGCGCGTTTTTGCCTGCGACACTTTTGCTGACAACAATTGTTTTGATGGAAAAAGGGGGGGTCTGCTGCGGAAGTGGGGGGGGGGGGCACTGGCTACAATAATTTGAATTGAATTTCGGACTGCATTGGTCGGGGTTCGGATGTTACCACGACTGTGGCCTGGGCCCTGGCCGGGCCCAACTGTTGATCCCACCCCTCGGGAGGAAGCCCCGTTCCCTCCTCTGGACTGTGATGGTTGCAACGCATGTCAACATTTGTCATCGGAGCGTGCCCCGGAGTTTCCTCTTCCACCCCTCCGCCTTCCCCTTCGGGGAGGGGTTTCGGTTTAACCTTTAACCTTAACCCTCCCCCGACCCCCTCCCCTGGGCCATGACAAGGGGTTCCGCGAATCGTCGAAACGTCGAAAACGGCCTCGGCGAGGAAGCCTGCGTCCTGTTTTTTATTTGAAAAATCGTTTTGAAAAAATACAGAATTCATGTCCCTTTTTGGAACCGCCCTCCCCCCCAGGCACCCGCGGAGGGAGGGGCAAAATGGGGGCGAGGACTACCAGGAAGGAAAAGATGACGATGACGAGGGAACAGGAGAAGGAGGAGGAGGGGGAGGATGGGGGAGGAGGAGGAACAGAGACGCGTTGGGCTGCCCCCGACAGCAGCGGAATCGCCGCGGATCAGCAGCACTGGCGGAGGCCACGCCGCATGTTGGCCTCTTGGGGGGCGGGGGGGGGGGGGGGAGACTGATTTAAGAAAGATGACTCCAAGAGCGCGTTTGAGAGCCCAAAATCCCAAGATGACCTCCAGTATGGCTCAAAACACTACAAGATGTCTCCATGGCGGCTTCCTCTGCGTGCTGCTCACTTCCCTGATCGAGGCAATTCATTTGGGCAGCGTTTCTGGGTTGGCTGGTGGGGATCCGCGAAGCGTCAGCAATTCCTCCTCCTCCTCCTCCTCCCCCTCCTCCTCCTCCTGTTCCTCCCCCCTCCTCATCCTCCGCTGCCCCCTTCCTCTTCCTCCTCCCCAAAACTGCGCAGGGCGGCAGAACGGGAGGACCAGGCGCTATGCTGGGACTGTCTGGGCTGAGTTGAGCTGCGCTGAACTGCGCTGAGCTGCGTTGAGCTGGCCCCCTGACCCATGCTGGGATGGGCTGCGCTGGGTCGAGATGGGCTAAACAAAATCAAATGAGCTGGGTCAGCAATGAACCTGGACAGACATACCCAAAGTTGGACAACGCCGACTTATGCAGGGGTTTCGTGGGAAGCTGGGAACGCTGTATTACATGATTAAAGTGCACTGGGACTGTCGGAACTGCGTGCGCTGGATATGATGAGTGGCACTTTTATCATTGCGTCATGCAAACCATGGCGTTTGCGAGCGCAGGCTACGTTAGGCACTCATAAACATCAGTGGCGCAAGTGTATAATATATGTGCAAAATACGATATTTAACTCTGTTCGCAACACAACCATACTTAAAATACATATAAAACAGAACCATCGGCAGAACATATTTCGAACATATCAAAACAGACGCCGCGAACATATTTCGAACATCTTTGGCGAAATCAACATGATGTGCGTTTTCCATATGAGCGCAACTATAAAGCTAGAGTGACTTTTGGTGCGCGGTTTCAGGGGTGCCCGTGGGGGCCCAACGAAATTGCGCAAACCAGCGTTGCCGCGCCGCATCAACGATCGGGGGGCGCCGCTCGAATCTCGAATGATTTTTCGTGCCAGGGGGCAACCGCGAATTCCGCCGATTGAATTCGAGCGCCCTGACTGGCACTTCGAAGGCGCTGCGAAATCAAATGCTGCCCGGGGCCAGATTGATGACGCCTGGCAGTGCCAGGCTGCATCGCGATGACGTCTGACCAAGCCCGGCGTCGTGGCCAAAACCGGCCCAACGATATCCAAAGGAACCCAAAGATATTCAAGCCAAACGTTTTGGCATTTGGGCTGGGACTCGGGACTGGTCCTGGGCCAGAAAACGCGCCGTCTGGTCGACTGGCTCCCCCTCCTGAAACCAACGCAAACTTATGTAGGGTGCTACGCGTATGCGTTGCTGTCGATTGCAAGGGGTGGGCCCAAACCTGGCGCGCTCAGATGCGAGCGTAATCACGCGATGCGGGCGCCGACGCGAGATCAAGCTCATCCCACAAGAAAAATCAACTGACCCCCATTTGGGCCAGCACCAAAGGTCACTCCGGCGAAGGGCCACTCTTACGTGCAGTCGAACATCGCCCTCGCCAAGAAACGTCGGCAAGCTCGAGCTCCGGTTCACTCGAGGAGGGCAGGAGGGGGGAGGAGGAGGAGGAGGAGGAGGAGGAGGAGGAGGAGGAGAAGGAGGAGGTGGAGGAGGAGGAGGAGGAGGAGAGGAGGAGGCGGAGGAGGAGGAGGAGGTGGAGGTAGAGAAGGGAGGAGGGGGGGAGGAGGGAGGAGGAGGAGGAGGAGGAGAGGAGAAAGAGGAGGAGGAGGAGGAGGAGAGGAGGAGGAGGAGGAGGGGAGGAGGGGAGGAGGAGGAGGAGGAGGAGGAGGAGGAGGAAGAGGAGGAGGAGGAGGAGGAGGAGGAGACTTCCGAGCCGTCTGAGGGCCGCCCCCTCTCGTCTCCTCCCCCCCCCTGGCTTGGCTGGCCGCGGACCAGAGGCAGCGGGGCCTGGGCCGGGGCCACGCACAGGAGCCTCTCGGAGGCCCCCTGGGGGCAGCAGACGACCGCAGACAGAAACACCCCAGTGAGGAGCACGATCTTGTCGCGTCGGGGGGAGGGGGGCTGGGAGGACGGAGGGGGTCTGAGCAATAGCCGCCGGGTGCAAGGGACGATGCCTTCGGCCGCCTGCGGGCGGTGATATCCCGAGTTCTCTCCCAACCCCCTCCTGCCAACCCGGCAGTCGTCTTTTCCTGCGTCGGAGGTCCTCGAACCCCGATCCGAGCACGCTCCAGCTGGCTGCCCGAGGCCCGTCGGGCCGCCACCGCGGCCCAACACGCACCCTCCCCCAAACATCCTCCGACCCGACGTCTCGATGCGCAGCCCCCCTCGGCTCCCGCAGCCTCCCCGGGGGCAGCTCGGCGCCCCGATCTCCCTGCCCGACGGCCCTCTTGGGCCCGACAGCGGGCCCAAGAGGGCACACAGACGACAGACAGGCAGGCAGACGAAAACGGCGAGGACGGCACCCGACGACGACACCCGACGACGACACCCCACGACGACACCCGACGACGGCGCCCGCCGCCGACGCCGACGCCGACGGCGACGACAGCGACAGCGACACGGCACCGCGGCCTCGGCGGCCCGGGCCCCCCCTGGGCGCCCCGCGCCTGGGGCGGCGAGCGCGTCCAGCCACGCCCGCGCGAGCTCGGGGCAGGCGTAGAGCGGCGTGAAGTCGTCGGGCTTCACCGCGGCGGACGCGGAGGCCAGCGACACCGCGCCCTCCGGGCACCGCGCACCTCCTCCTCCTCCTCCTCCTCCTCCTCCTCCTCCTCCTCCTCCTCCTCCTCCACCCCCCCGTTTGTGCGACGCGCGCGCGCCGGAGGCCCTCTGGGCCGCGCCCCCGCCCTCCCAGGGCCAGCCGTCGCGGGCGAGGGACGAGACCGTTGTCCTGCGGCCTCGCGGGCCGGGCCCCTGAGGGCGCCTGCTCGCGGATGCCCATCGGCGCCGGTTCGCAGACGGGGCGCGCGCTCGCCCCGCGCAGAACGTCTCCGTGCGGCCGTGTATCCGCGGGATCGCGCCCCAGAATCCAGGCCGCGAGGGCGCGGATACGGATACGTTTGCCGCCCGCGACCAAGCAGCCAGCGAGCGAACGAGCCAACGACCGATCGGTTGATGGAGCGAACTGGCGATCGATCGAGCTGCAGGAAGACGTAAAACAACACACCCATGCGCCAGCAAGCCAGGCAATGCGCAATGTCTGCACTCTGGTTGGGGCGGGGGGCGGCATGAGCATGTCATATGATTGTCGTGGATCGCCCCCCTCGCGCCGTGCAATAGATCTTCGCCAGCTTGACCCCTGGCGCACCCCCCCCCCGCCCGCCCTGTGGCGCGGAAGAAGAGGGTCATGAGGGAAGCGGGCCCCGGACCCCGGGTGATGAGCAAAGTTTCCACCTCCACTATTATACGTAGGACGGGGGAGAATGGAGGATGAGGAGGTCTTCCTGCCCCCCCTCCTCCTCCTCCTTTTCCCTTTCCTTCTCCTCCTCCTCCTCCTCCTCCTCCTCCTCCTCCTCCTCCTCCTCACTCCTCACTCCTCACTCCTCACTCACCACCTCCTACTCCTACTCCTACTCCTCCGCCTCCTCCTCCTCCACACCTCCTGCGGTGACCAGCGCAGACGCAAACGCCCAGAGGCGTCGCCCGACTCAGTCGGGCACCTTGGGGAGTGTCACTAGACGCCTCATCACCACAACGCACACATACACACAGACAGACACACACACACACACACACACAGACACACACAGACACACACACAGACAAACACACACACACACACACGCAGACACACACACACACACACACACACACACGCGCGCACAAACATGCACACGCATACACACCATCGGAACAGGACGAGCACCGCGACGAGCGCCCCAAAAAAGGCTGGCTGGCCAGCCGGGCTAGCCAGTGCCAGTGCTTCGGCCAGGGCGCCGCGCGACGCCAGGGCGCGCTCCCCCTGGCCCAGCGTGCTGCGCAGGTGGCGGGCAGCAGATGCGCGGAGCACAGCGCGAAGCTCTGCGCCCCAGCGCGGCGCCGCCTTGGCGCGGTGGTCGTCCTCCTGCTGCGCGAGGTTCCGCGCCGGCTCGCGGCGCAGCGCCGCCCAGGGCCCCCCCCACCAGGACACTGCTTCACAAGGACTTTGAACATCCCACCTGGAGAGGACGACGGGCGGATAATTAATGCTTCGACGCACGACTGCAGGTTTCCCAGGCGTGACAAAGTCCTGGCCTGAGACGCGCTGCAGGGGCCAGCTCGGTAGCGCTGGCGGTTGCCAGCTTCGGCGGCAGCATTGACGGCGCCCTCGTGCTTCGCCGCTGCTGCCAGCGCCACCGCGTCCCCAGACTCTGCGTACCAGACTGCCGCGTTCCCATCATCCTATTCCTTAATTTTCTCCTTCAAATTTTCACGCTCCTCCTCATCCTCCTCCTTCCCCTCCCCCTCCCCCCCAACACACTCCTCATGCTGCGTCCTCCTCCCCCTCGTCCCTCTCCTCTGCGTCCCGTCCTTCCATGCCTCCTCCTCCTCCTCTTCCTCCTCCTCCTCCTCCTCTTCCTCCTCTTCCTTCTCCTCCTCCTCCTCCTCCTTCCTCCTCCTCCTCCTCCTCCTCCTCCTCCTCCTCCTCCTCCGCTCCTGCTCTTCCTCCTCCTCCTCCTCCTCCTCCTCCTCCTCCTCCTTTTTCCTCCTCCTCCTCCTCCTGGCCCTGGCCCCTGTCCCCCCCCCCCCTCCCTCCACCTCCTCCTCATGCTCCCCCCCCCCCACCCTCTTGTCCCCCCTCCCCGCCCCCTCTCCCAGTCTCGAGCCCCCCCCGGCGGCAGCCTCTATGTCGATGATCTTCCAGCGGCCGCGGAAGCGCATCACGTTCGCGGGCTTCAGGTCGCTGCAGGAGCCCCCGCGCACGGGCGCCGTCGCGCCGTCGCCGCCGGCGACGCCGCCGCCGCCGCCGCCCATCGAAGGTCGAGTAGCCAAGATCGAACTGACAGCAGGGGCTCGACCTCGAGAAACCTGCCACGAGAAAAACAACCCTGAGACCCCAGGACTTTCATGGAGTTTCTGTGTGGGGACCTGACGCTTTTCCCATCGCAAAACGACCGAAACCCAAGAAAACTACATGGGGCACCCTGGAGTCAAGCAGGGTGTTTCTTGGCATGGGCCTCCACTGTACGAGTCCCGGGTGAGCCGCCACCAGGCCTGGCCAGGGCCATCCTGAGCCCTGGAGCGGTGCGCGGCACACTCCTGGCCGAGGCCGGGAGTGTACGCCATCCTCGGGCCCAGGATGGCCCTGGCCAGGCTTGGAGGTCGCGCCCAGACCCTAGCCGTCATAATCGTTTTCACAGCATGGACCCCCCACCGGTGTTGTGGCCTTTCCTGGCAAGCCCACGACCTGATTTCCATCCCGAGCAAGTGTTTGCTGACCGTCGTGGGGGGAACAGCAAGAATGTCGAGGCGAATCCTGCTGTGGCGACGACGGTCGGATAGCGGTACTGGAATCGTTTCCTCCTCTGGGGTCCGAAGGCCCGGGCAAGGCCCCGGTGCCGAAAACGGCCGAAAACCTTCCGCAGTAATCTTTCACGACGCGAGGAATTACCCTGAGATCCGACGTCACGAATCACATGCAACATCTAGAGCACTGGACCCAATACTTCTGCTGCATGTCCCGATCCATATCGCCCCCTGAGGGCCCCGAGGCTCGAAACAATGCAACATCGCCATTTGTGGGACAAAATGCGACGCCAAAATCTGACGGGTCTCGGGCACACGCCAACATGGATATCAGGGATCCGTGGATCTGGCGCGTGGGCGCCAGATCCACGTTCGGGAAGGCCCTGCATCGAAACATGGCGCTTGTGCCGCCTGATCTAGCGACTGGGCGCGCCGAGGTTTTACGGAACCGGGACTCGGCCACGCGCCCAAATCCATGTCGAGGTTTGGGGGCGCCTCCTGCGCAGACCCCCTCGCCGCCCTCCCCTCGCCCAGTCTCCTCTGCTGCGAGCGGCCCTGCCGGGGCTTGTCGCAGCAGATTCCGCCCCGGAGAGGCCACGAGGCTGCTCTGTACAGAGCGATGTCTTCTTGAGCCCCACGCAACGTTTCTGGGCCTCCGGCCGAGGGCGTCGCGGGCGGAGGCAACCTGTCGCCAACAGCCACAACAGAAACGCGACGCCGGGCCCCCTCCCCGCTGAGACCCACCCCCTGCGCAGGCCCCTCCTCGCTGAGGAGGCCCCCGTCGCCGAGCCCATCCCCCCCTCGCTGAGCCCCTGCCCCACTGGCCGAGCCCCCCCCATTAGTATAGCCGCAACCCCACCCCCTGCGCAGGCCCCTCCTCGCTGAGCCCCCCCCCCTCGCTGAGCCCACCCACTTTTCGCTGAGCACCCCCCTTCCTGGCCGAGCCCCTCCTTGAGCCTCCTGCTCGGCCCCCCCATGTAGATGGGGACAGGGACACACAAATAAACATACACAAATCCCATGATTCCCTGTAAATGTCCATCTTTTCTGGGCCTTCGTCTCCCCCCCCACCCTTCCTATAGGTTCCCACATTTTCACTGGTATCGACGATCATTAGTGTCAGTGCGCTCTCTTCCCTCCTGACCACGGCGGGGCCCCGCTCCCCCCATGCGCGCGCAAAAGGCGGCGAGGGTGCGGCGCGCGCCAGTGGCACAGCCCGCGACGCGCCAGCAACGCCAGGGCCGCGGCGAGCGCCTGGCCCACGTCGCGCAGCTGCGCCAGGGCCTGGGGCGGGAGAGCGCGGAGCCCGGGCCCCCGCGCGCCGTGTCACAATCACAGCGCGAGGCGTTTTCTTGTGGACATGTTCGGCCCGCGGGGTGCCCTCGCCGGGCCCGAGGGCCCTCAGGAACGGCTCGGGACGAGAGGCTGGTCCCGGGGAACGGGTCGAGACCTCTGGGGGTCGACGCCGTGAGCAGAAGCCACCGCGTCGGGGGTCCGGGAGGGAGGAGGGGCAGTGGCGGCACGAGGCCTGCTACGAGGACAGTGGGGGGGGGGGGGGGGGCGTCCCCCAGGCTCCTCTCCCTCCCTCCCTCCTACTGACACTCGGGGTAGGAAGGCTAAACTGGCTCTCCCTTTCCCACCCCCACCCCAACTTCCGGAAGCGAGGTCTCCATGTCTCGAGTAGGGGATCGACAACCGAATTGATTTACCCCACAATTGCTTTGCCCGTCGAATCTATGCGAAATCCGCGGAATGTTCGCAAATCTGAGAACATTCTACGTATGACTCGACGAGGAACTCAGTTTTGGGGTAAATCAGTTCTGTAGACGATGCCCTGCTCGACTGATGGCGTCCAGGGGGCCCCCGCCGAGGGTGCGTGGGCCCAGCGCGCGGCGCGCAGTGGAGCGGGGATCGCTGCCACAGCGGTGCGCAGCAGCAGGCAGCAAGGAGGGGCAGCCTGCCGCCGGGATGCGCCCTCGCCTCGGCAGCACGGCCTCGAGAGCGCGGGACGAGACAAACGCGGTCCACTGCTCGCAAAGTAACTACTCGCAAAGTGCCTGGATCCGCCGTGCAGTCTATTACACCAAGGCAGATGTTTGGTTTTGGACGTTTGCGAGTGAGCACTTTGCGAGTAGCAGAGCGCGCTCGGTGAAGAGCGTGGAACGCTTTTCATCATCCGCGGCCACAACGGGCCGTCTAAGAAAATGAAGGGGGGGACAGGAGGGGGCATAACGCAGCGCCCCCTCCCCCCCAGGCTGTGGTGCCTGACGCACTGCGGCAGAGCCAGGGACGCAGGGACGCACTGAGGGGGGACGATACGTTAAGGGGAGGGGAGGTGAGGTGGCACAACGCGCGTCATGGCCCAGAGGGTCACAAAAACACTCTCGTGGGTCGCGTCGCCGAAGGCCCAGTATTTCGCCTCGTGCCCCACGAATTCAGAACCCCGCTCCTGCCGCCCATCGAGTTGCCTGAATCGTTGCTCGTCGAGTTCAATAACAAATCATGGGAACTTGGCATGCCCTCTCAATTCCGTCTTTAGCGTCGACTAGCGTCTGAGAGTCGATGAGATAGCGCCGAGTTGGCGTCGGTTAGCGTCGATTAGCGTCGAGTTAGCGTCGACTTAGCGTGAATGATCGTCGACTAGCGTCGATTAGCGTCGATTCGCAAGAGCCGACAAGATGGTAATTATGGGAGGCTCCCATAACTTGCCGCCTAAGGTGAAGCCAGGGCTCGGGTTTCGCCGCCGATCGGGGGGCGAGCAGGGGGGGTGGAGGACACGGGCTGCCCTCCACGGGGCGACGGGGGGACGGGTCGTGCCATCAGGCAGGCCCGAGCGGGATCGAAACGCGAGATCGGACCGACTCGGAAACGGATCGGATCACCGTCGACTCTGTCCCGAACTGGACCGACATCGGATCGCCGCGCCCTCGGAGAAGGAAACGATACCCATTCCGCTACCCTTCGCGAGGAGGAGGAGGAGGAGGAGGAGGAGGAGGAGGAGGCGGAGGAGGAGTTTTTAAAGCCTCCTGGGAGACCCTCGTCGCCACCGATGGATTCGCCTTCGAAAAACTGGTCAGAGCGCAACCTGGGAGAGGTCCGGGGAGGAGTGGCGGTATCGGTACCTTTTGGCTTCCCCACACCCTGCGCCAGCTGGCCTGGCCGATGCCAGTGAGGTGAACCCAGGTCGGGCCGAGCTGGAACCGCGGGCGTATAGGCCGCGGATAGACTTGCATCGAATCGCAATCGGCCCCGTCAAGGGCGCGGAAGGGGGGGCAAAGCGGGCATATGGGGCGGGGTGGCGTGCAGGGGGCTCCCTGTCAAACAACTCGGGCTGCGCTAGGTGTCCGTTAATCCCCAAATCATGCTTGCACTAAGGGGTTCTTACTTCTGTTCTAAAGAGCTGGGCTGGTGTGGCGGTCTGGCCGCTACGTTGTCGCCGCTGCCGATCTCCGTCGCAACCTCGTCGCCGCCCGTCGTCTGGGCTGGTGTCGAGGTCTGACGGATACGCTGTCGCCGTCGCCGTCCCGACATACATTGCACCTGATAGATTCCACCACATACATTGCACATCATACATTATACGACGCATGTTGCACCACGTAGATTGCACCACATAGGTTGTCCAGCGCGGATTGCACAGCATATATTGCACCACATAGGTTCCACGACAAATCTGGCTCTATATTGCACTATGTTGATTCCTCCACATCTGTTGCATCACCAGATTTCATCACATTGATTCTCCTTTCTAAAAATAAAATAGACTCTACCCCCCCCCCGGACTTATCGGTTCCCCCTGGGATAGTATGATTTCATTTGTATTCTGCACACTCGTCCATCTGAAATATGAAATCAGACCATCCCTGCTAGGCCGGTTTCCCCCTCCCTGAGGTTCCCTTGTAAAAAGCACTATGCGGTGACATTTTTTGTTCTAACATAAAACTTGTTCGCGAATCCCTTGCAAAGAATGAGACGAAGTGCACACGCGCGCGTCGTCGCGCGCGCATGCCGAAATCCTTCAAAAACCTTCGGTGCAGGAAGGATTTCGCAATCGAATTTCCAAAACAAACATACAAAAACACATGGTATCGCAACACAGAGTTGCTAAACAAGCATCCGCGTGGGCTCTTGCGAAATCTTAAGAATACCATTGTTTTTTTCAAGATTTTCACAACATGCTACCAAACGGGCTTCGCGCGCGCGCGCATGTCGAAATCTGTCGAACGCCCTTGCGCGTGTGCCGTCGCGAGAATCCTCCGCAAAAAATGGGACGAAGTGCAGACGTGCGCGTCGTCGCGGGCGTATGCCGAAAACCTTCAAAACCCATCGGTTTCGGAAGGATTTCGAAATCGTGCGTCCAAAAAACCTACAAAAACTGAAGGTTTCGCAACACGGATGTTCAACAAAAGCGTGCGCGCGCGTTCTTGCGTCGTCGTCGTCGTCGTCGTCGCCGTCCTCCCTCCTCCCGCGTCGTCGTCGTCGTCGCCTACGTCGTCCTCTGTCTTTTCTCGTGTTCGTCGTCGTCGTCCTCTTTGGCGTCGTGGTCGTTTCCGTCGTCGTTGTCGCCGTGGTCGTCCTTCCTCCTCCTCCCACGTCGTCGTCGTCGTCCGTCGTCGGCGTCTCGTCGTCGTCCCTCCTATTTCGTCGCCGTCGTCGTCGTCGTTGTCGTCGTCGTCTTCCCTCCTCCCTCGTCGTTGTCGTCGTCGGCGTCGCCGTCCTTCCTCCTTCCTCGTCGTTCGCGTCGTCGCCGTCCTCCCTCCTCCCTCGTCGTTGTCGTTGTCGTCGTTGTCGCCGTCGTCGTCTTTCCTCCTCCCTCGTCGTCGCCTTCGTTGGCGTCGTCGTCGTCGTCTTCGTCGTCGTCGGCGTCGTTGTCGTCGTCGAAGACGTCGGAGACATCGTCGTTTCGTCCTAGTCGTTGTCGTCGGTGTCGTCGTAGTCGGTCTTAACAGGTTGTGCAAACCAAGTTGCGGGTGGGTGGGTGGGATGTTTGCGCGAGCAGTGGAGATGACGACTTCAAGTTCAGCGGAGTGGATTGCACCACATATATCTTGCACAATGTAGATAGCACATTGTCTAGTGTACAAGATAGATGGTACAACCATATTCTGCACCACATAGATTGCACCACGCAGGTTGCTCCACCTACAAAGCACAATATATAATGCTACAGTGGGGGCCAATCCATCAGAAGCCTTCCACAGCAAACCCAACCCTGCGACCCCAGGACGTCCATTCATGTTTGGTGTGGGATGGTCACGCTTTCCATCGCAAAACCATCGAAACCCAAGAAACCCAGGGCACCCTGGAGGCAAGAATGGTGTTTCTTGGCATGGGCGTCCGCTGTGCAAACACATCGTTTGGGGTCCGTGCTTGACAAATTTACTTGCGTGCATGGGGGGGGCGAGACCCGAAAGGGAATCTGCTTTTCACCCAATTCGGGACTCACTTGTGCGCCTTGTCGGCCGAGCGCTGCGTGCAAAGGCTGCGAGGGGGTGGGGGGAGATGCCACGCCAGAACTTGCCCGGGTCTAAACAGAACGCCATACCCTCCAACGATTTGAAGACACTATAGGGGATCTGTTCCACCATTTTCGTCGTGCGGGGGCCGAATGCAAGCCCTGGGCTCCGTCAAAGAATTGTCCTGGGCAACCAAAAAACAGTCATCAGCAAGGATGGCGGAGAAGATCGAGGATCCAGGAGTTGTCTATCAACGTCTCTGTTATTTTTTCTGGGCCCCGCACTTGCATCTGCAGCGTCACCTTGTGATACGGACCCACCCCGCCCATGACGCCCTGCGAGCCCGTGCAACTCTCCATGTTTTCCCTCGTGCTCTGGGCCGGAAGGGGGGGAGCCTTCCAGAATCCCATGGCTCCAAAGATTCTAGAAACTGGAGGCGACCATCGAGAAAATCGATTGAAAATTGGGGGATCGAAAAGCGAATCCGCTCAAATCGGTCGCCAAACCCTTCCTGGAGTCCATCTGGTGAAGTTGTTCACTCCGGTTCCGTTTTTTGATGGTCCCGATGGCTGATTGCTCGTACTTGTGTTACTAATAACAATGCCTAAAGGATTCGTGATCACCGAATTGTCGCGATGAATCTGTAAGCCGGCCAGCCCCGTGAAGTAATTCGATGCTTCCGCGCGGGAAGACCACGTATCCACGATCAGTTTGTATGCGCAAGTGTTGCCGAGCGGGCCATGTACGCATAATCAGGCTGAATACAATTACATCAACTTCAAACTTCAGATTGGGAACGCGTATCCTCTAGAGGCACATTTTCTACCTCCGCCCTATCCTATGCCGTTCGCCATCGTTTCCTCTGTCGGCGCTGCTTGTGGCGGCCAGCCTCGCACGGGTGCGCATTATAGCATCGTTTGCAACGCGTGCGGCGGGGGGGGGGGGGGCAATGGCGATCGCCGAAGTGGGAAGGAAGCGGTGGCGTCCGCAGGGTTGGGACGAGAGCGATTGCAATCGCTGGAATGGGAAGGGATCGATGGAGATCGCTGCGGTGGGTAGGGAGTGGTGGCGATCTGTATGGAAGCTCACTCGTAGTTCTAATGGGGCAATCCTGAAGGCGTGGAACGGATCGACATGAATACCTTTTTCAAAACGAATCCTTGCAAGGCCTCCTTCTGGATTTATCAATACGCTCTTGTGGTTGTTCCCAATACCCCCTGGGATCGCCTAGGGACGATTTGGGAAACTATTGGCGCTCTTTGGAAGGTGTCGTGATACCAATGGGTTCCGTTGCCGATCGCGAGCGATCTCCTCGAAATTGAGCTCAGTCTATCGTTTTGAACGTCGCGATGGCATCGTCCGATGTATGTAAGTGCTGTGAGTGCGCCCCGATGTTGTTTTGCGTTTGTATTGTTCCAGGATAACAGAAAAACAACGTGTAAATCACCGAACACCAAGACAAATAATGGCAATCAACCGAACACATGGAAAACCAGTCGAACAACAGGAAAACCATCAGAAACCAACCTGCGTTGTTTTCTTTGTTCTGCTGGTTCTCGGTTGTTCTGATTTTGGCATCCGCTTGTTCTCCTGGTTTTCCCTGCAATCAATATTTCGTTGTTTTTGAAATTCTCCTGAAAAACAACATCCACGATCGCACTTCAGCACGACGCACTGAGTTCGCACTGATTCGAGTTCTCTCGCCTGCTATCATCGCGGCCATGTCTCCAAAACCTGGAGTTGGAAGGGAACGATTGCGATCGCTGGGGCGAGGAGGGGCGATTGCGATCGCCGGAGCGAGCTTGAAGGGAGCGAGAATCGCTACGGCACGTAGTTGCCGCAGTTGACCTGCCAGCGATCGCGATCGCTACGGCCCCGCGCGAGTCCACATATGAGTACATGGATGAGAAGCTAAGTTAGTTAGGTGGTTAAAGTAGTGGAATCAGTCACACAAGTATGAGCAATCAATAAGAGGGGCCCGAATACGGTCCCGAGAGTACCAAAAAGGCTAAAGAACCAAGTCGAACCCATAACCTCGAACCTCGCATCCCCCTTCGTGCTGGCCAGAACCAAGGCTGGGCCACCTCATACCCCCAGCAAGCGCCAAGGAGGGGGAGCTTTCCAGGATCCCACGGCCCCAGAACTTCTGAGGCGCCTCCATTCTGGGAGGCTCCTGGGAGACCCCACGGGTTTCCGAGCTGGTGAGCTGTCCGAGGTCCTGCAGGCTCCAAGATTTGAGGGACAACTTTGAGCCCATGTCCCCTGCCTCATGGAATGTCTGGCTCCCTTCCCGAGAAGCCGGAAGGCGCAGTGGACATGGAAAAATATCCGGCCACCATATAGGCTGAGTGTCGACTCACGTCCACTGCGCCTCGGCCTGTGTGCGCCCCTTCCCAGAAAGTCCAAGACGCAGCGGGTATGGGTCCAAGTCAAGTACTGCCCGCAGGAAGGGGTCATAGGGGGGTAAGGGGAGCACAGATGTGTGATGGGGCAAGGCGACAATATCGGGGAAGGCAGCGTGCATGGGAGTGCGGCAGCAAGGGCCCAGACCTCCTACGGAAAGAAGCGTGTTTTGTTCTCTGTTTCAAAGAACTTCTTTCAGTACGGACGGAGTTCCTGGACCTCCCGATACCCCCCCCCCCAAAGAGCCGACTTCTCGCCGTGACCCGCCCTTGGGACGGCCCACGGCGAGTGGGCCGACGCCGTGACTGGCAAGACCGCCGCCGAGGGCGGCTCCCCGGACGCCTGACACGATCGCAGGACCTCTGCCGCGCTTGGCACAAGACCTCTGGAAGTCGGACCTGGGCACCCTCCGAAAGGATTTTCGGGCCGGGCGAAAGGGGGGATAGCAAAGGGGGGGGTTGAGAATCAGCTCACGTAGCTGATTTTCCCGGCGCCTCCCGGCGCCGGAGGCGGCTATGTATCGAGGAATGGGCCCCTCAGTGAGGCCGAAACCAGCTGCCTGCAACAGATTTCGTAACCCCCCCTTTCCCAATCCCTTCCTTTCGCCTGGCCCGAGATTTGTTCCGTGCGCGGCCCCGGGGCTCCCGCACCACCCTGGGGCAGCTCTGCGCCCTGGGGCCGTCTTCTCTTGGTCCTGGGGCAGGACAACGTGCCCCGCAGGTCGGAGGACGCGCAAGGGGGCCCGGTGGGGTCCCAAAGGAAGCCTTCCAGGCCCGAAAGGTGCACCTTTCTCCCCCCCCCCTCCGATCGATCGTCTATCGCCCATACCCATTCATTCGCGCCCAAGCAGGCCAGCGCTGGGGAACCACGCCAGGATGAAACAAATCACAGAGCCCTCGGAGATCTGGGGAGGAGCAGGAAACGAGGAGAGGGCGCAGCACCAACGGCCAGGTGACGCCGCCGGCCGGTCACGGGGCGAGACGGGTAGGGAAAGCGCGCCCCACCGCGTACACGAACACGGTCCCCCAGTGCGCGAGACCAGCCGCGTGATACGAACGTTCGCGCAATGCGCACTCTCGAAACCAACGTGGATTCGTGCGCGTGTCCGTCCTTCTTTGGATCCTGAGGGGAGGCAGGCCCCGACCTCCTGGCATCCGTGGAACCTTCAGGGTGGATGTGCTCTTCGCCGCTCTCGGTGCCCGCAGGCTGGCCGAGTCGGCCACACGCAAGAGGCACCCCGGGTAAGAGTGACCTTTGGTGCGCGGCCTTTGGAGGGCCGCGGGGGGGCCAGACACAAGCGCGTGAGACGCTACCATCGCGCCGCACTCGGCGATCGGGGGACCCCAGTGGGCCCGCAGCAAAGGCCACTCGGGCGAAGGGCCACTCTTGCGTGTAGCCGACATCTGGAAACCCTGAACCCAACAATGTTGTCATCTCTTGGGGGCGCCTCCTTCACTTCCGCCGCCTTCCGCCAGCCCTCCGCCAGCCTTCCGCTGGCGGAGGGCGCCTCGTTTTACTTCCGCCGCCCTGCCGCCGAGGAGAGGATGGCAGCTCGCTCGCTCCTCGAGGGCGAGGCCCTCTCTGGAGCGCCACGCGTGCAGCCGAAGGGGGGGGGTCGAGAGCCTCGCCATCGCTCGGACGTCCATTCCGTGTGCTTTTTTCGGTTTCGTGCGTGGTTTTTTCGCCAAATGATCAAGGATGCTCCTCGATGGTCCTCGCCGAGGAAAAAACGCACACGTCCGAGCGATGCCGAGGAGCTCCGGGGCCTGCGCAGGGGAAAAGCATTCAGGGATCGTGTGACCCGGGTCAATCCAGACCCGGGTCAGTCAGGCTGCGCAGGATCCCGCAAGATCCTGCAGGAGCCTGCACCCAGCCCAAGGTCAATGCGGCCCTGGCCCTGCAGGATCCTGCGAGCATCGGGGCTCTGACTGACCCACGTTTGCATTGACCCCCGCCTCTTGAGCCCCGAGGCATGAGCCCAGCGCGACCACACGGCTGGGGCTCCTCCTTCGCTCCCGGACGGGGGAACGTCGGCAACGGGAGGGTGAAGTCGGGCTTGTCCCCCTACAGGGTTCTGGGCGAAAAAGGAATACCCCCAAAACGCCCCCCAAATGGGAAAAATTGTCAAAACATAGTCCCCGGACTATTTTTTGGCCTATTTTCGCATTCTCCTCCTGTAGATCGAGGGACAGGCCCGACTTAAGGCGGGGGCTCCTCTTTCGCTCCCGGACGGGGGAACGTCGGCAACGGCAGGGCCCTTGGCGCACGTGCTGGGCGCCGCGCCGCGCCGGCGGGGTGGGCAGGCCAGGGCCGGGCACCTCGGCCAGAGCGCCCGCGCAGAGGCGGGCAGCCCGCTCGGTCAGTACTCGGCGGCTCGCCCGGGGGGAGGGGCCGTCGTCGTCGTCGTCGTCGTCGTCGTCGTCGTCGTCGTCGTCGTCGTCGTCGTCGTCGTCGTGTCCGTGTTCGTGAGGACGTGCCCCTGGCCCAAGGCGCCCCCCCCAGGATGTCCAAGGAGGACCCCCCGCCCTCCAGAGTACCCCTCACGAGGCCCAGAGGGCCCTCGGGGCTCCAGAATTGAGCGACGAGCTGGGGGCACCTTGGGGCGGGGGCACCCTTCGCAGCCCCCGAGCAGGGGGGACGGGCCTCCCCAGAGGGCCTCACCGCGTTGCAGCGGCGGCCCCGGCGACACACTATGCCCTGCGAGCGGAGTGTCGCTCCGCTCCGCGGGGCGAGAGGCGCGGAACGGCTCGGGACGCTGGCTCGGGACGTTCACGCCCTGGGACTGGGGCGTGGATGGCGTGTCGCGCCAGAGGGTGGTGGGCCAGAACTGGCGGCGCGACACGCTGAGCCATGAGATCCTGACCGCAAGCCCTTCCCCAAGCCACCTTCGGGGCTCTCCTCGGAGGGCCGGAGGGCCTCTGAGAAGCCCCGCCGCCCTCTGAGAAGGCCCGCCCCATCTCGGACGCTAATTATGTGGTCCTTCGGGCGGGTGACAATGAGGGGTGACCCAAATGCGGGGTGAAGAAAAGAATAACGGGGCCCTTTAGGGCCCTTTTTGAAGCCAGCTGGTGCCCAAGTGGAGCCCTAAAGGGCCCCGTTACGATCTTTTTCTTCACCCCCCATGTGGGTCACCCCCCACCACCACCCGCTTGGGGGATCACTGCTCGGCTCTCTGGTGGCCCCTCGTGGTGAGCCTGGCACCACCAGAACGCCCTCGGCGCGGCGCAGCTGCTGGAGAGCACCCCGAGGCCAGGGAACCGCGGAGACTCGACGAACACGCCCGAGAACCTCGAACCCCGAACCCGAACCCCCCAAACCCCCCCACCCCCCCCCGCTGGCGCGCCGCCGAATGCTTTGTACATCTTGCAGGGAGGTCCAGACCTCCGACGCCTGCTGGCGGAGGCGCGGCGGGGTCGGCTGACCCAAGTGTGGGCACCCCCCAGGGCGAGTCCCTGGGCGAGCCCCGGGGGGGGCACGCGATATGCGAGGGCGAGGAAGCAGCCCCCGTGGAATGGTATCCAGAGCTGCAGGCCCCACGCGGGCGACGAAACGAAAGGGGCTCAGTGGTTCAAAGATGGGGTCCCGAGGGATGGGGTCCTGAGGACAGGAAGGGATCCGAGGGTGGCCCTGCACTCTTTGAGGCACCTCGTCCTTCGGACCCCATCCCCCAGGACCCCAGCCTTGAACCACCGAGGGGTCTTACGCGAGATGGCACGGCGACCTTCCGCGGCGGCTTACGCGGGCCGCCAGCGCGGCACGCTGCATTGGAGACGGGGGCGCTCACGCGCGATCCTGCGCTGGCAACTGTCGCGCCAATGTCGGCCCAGACGGACCCGCTGTTTGGCGTCGCTCACGTCGCGAAACAAACAAATACGACGTCGGAGGTCTGGGGAAAGAGCGCACAACTAAAAAAACGTGATGGACCGCTCGAGGAGACCGCGCGGGGGGTGAAGGGTGAGGACGGAAGGACGCTAAAGATGCACCCACACCTCGTCGCGTGCAACTCGTTGCCGAGCACCCCCAATTTCGATGTTCACGCGGGGAGCCGCACGCTTCGATCTTCCCACCGTCAACATTGCGGTCGGGGGCGGGTGGGGGGCAAGAGAGCCCAGAATCGAATCGATAAATCGGATCGGCAATCGTCGAAATACATCGGATCGAGGGCAATCGGCAGCCGAGTCCGGAAAAGTCAAAACGGTGGACACCGGCAGGCTAGAGTAGGCCTCCACCGAGAAATCGGAGCCCACATCGGAACCCGAAGTCGAACCGCACCAGAACTGGAAGCCACCGACATCGACCTCGACATCGAATCGGAGGCATCGAAATGAGCCCCGTGGGGGGGGGGCAAGCGACTGGCACAAACCTAGTTTGAAGGGGAACTGGAACACACAAATAAATACACACAAATTAAAAAAAATCCCCATATTTTCTTATATTTTCTGGGTTTTTGTCTTCCCCCCCACATCCCATATTTTCCCATATTTTCTGGGGAATGGAGGATTAATTGTGTCTGTGTGTTTCTTTTCCTCCTGATAGTTGCAGTACCGTTCCAGGGGGGAGTGGGGGCCCAGGGTCGGCCTGGCCGGGCGTCGGGCCGCGGGCGTGCAGGCTGCGCCCCCGACTTGGAGAGAGAGTGAGCGAGCCGCGCACGCCCGGGAGCCATGCCGCTGGCCGAAGAAGCACGCACCACGCACGCCGTCGGAGGCTGCACGACCATCGGGGAAACGCAAGACTCGGGCACGGGGGACTCGGGTTGGCCGGACGGGGCCACCATGAAACTGACGAGACCAAAACCTGAAATCTGACGCGAGCTCCCGCTGCAAGCATCCCACGAAAATTGACACGCCATCCAGGACGCGCTCGTCAAAAAACGTCGGCAAACCCGAGCTCCGGCTTACTCGAGTCTTACGCTTCCCCGGGGTAAGGATTCAAGGGCCTTGGAAGGCCGCTTCAAGGCTCTTCGGGCTGGGCGCGGCCAGCGAAAGTGGCGAAGGATGAACCGCGGAGGCAAGGATGCAAGGGTACCTTCTCTGGGTTTCTTAATAAGCCTGGGGGGGTACCCCCGACGGAGGTCAACCTCGCCTCGTCGTCGCGCCGCGACGGGGGTCGGAGCGCCTTCCGCGCGCGGGGGCTGCCTGCGACGGGGGTCGATGCGGGGCTGTCGGCGGGGGTGACGCCCCCCCGACGCTCAGTAAGAAACTCGGAGGGAAAATCGCCCATCCTTACAATGCGGGTCGACTGCGCTCATGCGGGGGCGGGCATGGGCGGCGCGCACAAGGGGGCGGGGCGAGAGGGGGGTGCTCCACGGTGGGCACGCGGCCTCGATCACTGGGAGCCCCGCTGCCCTCTACAGCCATCGCACCGTGCTGCCACCAGGAACGCCGAGTCCGCAACGACGGGGCTGCTCTGGCCGCGGCGAGCCTCGGCCGCGAAGGGGTCCCCAGCGGCGCCCCCGCAGCCGGGGACCTCGTCCCAGGCAAAACCCAACGGAAGCAGCCGGCCCCCCTCAAAAGCACCCCCACCCCCCCGTTATGGGGCCTGATGGGGGGGGAGGCGCATTTTGCATGAGATTGCCGAGGGCAGGGGTCGCGACGAGCCGATCGATTCGACGCCACTGCGGCTGCTAAGCGTGCCCCGCCCCCGACCCAGATCGGAGCACCAGCCCGAGAACCGGCGCCGCTCCTGAGCCCCAAGGTGGCCACTCTGCCAGGCCTCCTCGGCCAGGGCAGCCCCGCTGCCCTCTCGAAGCCTGCCCGGGAGCACCCCGGCCCCTGCCGAGAAGCCCCCCCTGGCTCGGGGGCGACGACGAGGGCGGATAGCCCAGGGGAGACCAAGACATGCATGCAGGGAGCCGATGCTCTGTGCCATGCGGCGAGGCTCCCGGGCGATGACGTGTCATGCCCGCCCCTCGGCTATTCGCCCCTCCCGTGAAGCATGCTCAACGCCCCCCCCTCGCTGATGGGCCGATTTCCCACCACCACTACCATAGGTAGGAGAGGGAGGAGGAGGAGGAGAGGAGGAGGAGGAGGAGGAGGAGGAGGAGGAGGAGGAGGAGGAGGACCTTCCCATCCTCCCTCCTCCCACGGCCCACCTCTGGTGGTGGCTGCGGAAAACAGACCCATCACTCGCGCCACGCGCCCCCCCCCCCCCGGCGCGCCCGCCCAGGGCGCGGGAGCCCCACACAGCCCGGAGAGGGCATGGAAAACCGGCGACGGCGCGCCGGCCCTCGACGGACTCGGCCCGCGCGCGGCGGCGGGGCCCCCGGCGCGCCAGAGAACCACGAGGCGCGGCCGCTCGGAGGCGCCCAAGACGGGGCGTCCAAGAGGGGGCGGAGGACCGTGGAGAAGGGGGACAAGGTCCTCCTCTCCTCCTCCTCCTCCTCCTCCTCCTCCTCCTCCCTCCTCCTCCCCCTCCTCCTCCTCCTTCCCTCCTCCTCCTCCTCCTTCTCCTCCTTCTCCTCCTCCTCCTCTCCTCCTCCTCCACGTCCTCGTCCTCGTCCTCCTCCTTCTTCTCCTCCTCCGACGCAAATCGTTGGCGGCCGCGCGTGCGCGGCACAATGTACAGCGGGGGGGGGACAGGGGACGCATTGACATGAGCAGAGGCGCCCGGAGATCTGGGGAGACATCCTGGCCCCCGCCATGGCATCCCCCCACCCAATTCACCCCCCCCCCCTCTTGGCCGCCCCCGAGTCGCGGCCCCGCGGCCCCGCTCGCGCCGCGGCCGGGGCGCCCGCGCGGCGTCGCGCGGCGCTCCCGAGCGCCCCGCCCCACTGAGAAAACGAGCGGCCCGCGCGCGAGAGAGCGCGTCGCGTACTTGGGGCCCGCGGGGGAGCAGGGAGCTGTCACAGCTCCCTGCTCCCCCGCGGCTCCGGCGCGGCCGCGGCCCCCGCCGGCCGCGGCAGCAGCCAGCGCAGGCCAGCTGGGAGCTGGCTTCTAACCGGCCTCGAGCGCATCCCGTCTCCTGAGAATGGCAGTGCCCAGGGCGATGGCAATCTTAGCGCTGCACACCCAAGGATCTGAGGGGATCCTCAAGATCGGCACCGAGACAAGGGGGGGGGCAATCACAGGGGCGGGGATCTGCTCCAGGCTGGTGAGCGGGGCTGGCGCGAGCTCACGGCCGCTCGTGCCGCGTGTAGCGCATGTCGCGGTAGTGCTCGTGCATGATCGCGCGGATCACCCCATCCACGTGGCGGCCCCGCGGGAACTCCGCGAGGCCAGCGAGGCCGGTGGCCCGCAGCGCCGTGCGCCAGAGGTGGGCGCGCTGGCCCTCCCGCGCGGCGGGGTCCTCCGCCGCCACGGTCGACATGCACAGCTGCTGCGACACCTGCGGGCAGACTACGACGCCCTTGCGATCTGGACGTTGCAGTGTTTGCACCCTGGGCGTGTCCCCCCAGCTTCGGGTCCCGGGGCCACGACAGAGAGCGTAAGTACTGTTCTTTCGCTGCTGGCACGCTGACACGCATGGCGCTTCCACCCCTCTCCCGTTCCGCAGCGTTTTTAAATAGCGCAGGATTAACAAGGCGTGCAGGTGTGTCCCGAATAGCGCGAGATGCAAGTTTCCTTTCGTGTCTCGCCACGCCCCGCTGGCCATCGCTCGGACGTCCATTTCTTGTGTTTTTTTTTTTTTTCCGGTTTCGTGTGTGTGTTTTTTTTTCGCCCAGTGATCAAGGATGCTCCTCGATGGTCCTCGCCGAGGCAACAGCGCACACGTCCGAGCGATGCCAAGCCCCCCCCTGCCCCATCCATGCAAATAAACTTGGCCAGAATCTGAAGGCAAACGAGCGCTTGCAATGTTTGCACGCTGGGCGTTTTCGCCCGGCTTTGGGCCCCTGGCGGCCATCACGGGTGGAGCCAGCTCGTGAGAAACGCAACAGAACGGTGGTGCCACGGCCTCGCATCGTGACTTCGCACGATGCTGCAGTGTGTGTGTGTGTGTGTGTGTGTGCGTGTGCGTGTGCGTGTGCGTGTGCGTGTGCGTGTGCGTGTGCGTGTGCGCGTGCGTGTGCGTGTGCGTGTGCGTGTGCGTGTGCGCGTGCGTGTGCGTGTGCGTGGCGTGGGCGTGGGCGTGTGCGTGGGCGTGTGCGTGTGCGTGTGCGTGTGTGTGTGTGTGTGTGCGTGTGCGTGTGTATGTGTGTGTGTGTGCGTGTGCGTGTGCGTGTGTGTGCGTGTGCGTGTGCGTGTGCGTGTGC